GAGTCTGGTCTTCCTCCTTAGGACCCAGTACCTCTTATCTTGGTGGCTGTTCTTCTAACTCTCTCACAACCTAGAGGGAGAGGGTTCCTATATTTCGGGACTGTTCCCCTTTTTTCTACAGTGTTGGTCCCCATCGAACCTCTACTTTTATATTTAGCGTAGAACCAAAACTAAGTAAGTGATCGTGAGGTGTGTCTTCAAAATGACCGGAGCTTGCTGACAGAATCTGATGAGGCCTAAATCTCAAGGGAATACTGCCAGCTGGCCGGAGCACCTATGAACAATGCGTAATGCCCACCTGTGGAAGGTTGAGCGAGCGCGACGACAGCGTCACCTGGAAGCGGAATGAATAGATTATTTTTTCTTTTTGAATATAACAAATTCTGCGACATTTATTCTCTGTCTTGATAGAGAAAGCATGTCCTTCTAGAGCGTGGAGAACCGAGTCATGCTCCTAGAAAGAATGTAAATGCTCGCGTACCTCTCGCGATTGAAGTACCATATGTTTAAGCTGGAACATCTTGTGACGTTCGTAGGTCCACAACAGAGATGACTAGATGAACTTTCTGAAATTATCATACTCATGAGGGAACCTGGTTTTCGACCATAGCCATGTAGGTACTGGACCAAACAGCGATAATGATGATCAGGAAAAGCCAGCAAATGCACAAGAACTGTGTAGGTACATATATGGCCCCTAAGCGTCTACTGAAAGATACTAGGTGTGCTGTTCCTGCTTGAACGTCTATGCTACCGATATTAATGCTGAGTGCTCTTCGAGGAGGCATTTGTTGAAAAGTCGCTCTCGGTATGCGCCATGCGTTCTGTTTCCATTCGTTCGAGTCGCAGTGGAATTTGAATGCGATTTAGCCAATGCAATCACTTATGGAAGAGGACCGAAGTGAGAGAAGTCTGCTATCGGATAGTTGATCAGAGGGATGTAAGGCTCTGTTGTCCTGAGCAGAGTTGGATTTCGACGATTGGTCTGTGGCGATTAGCGTTGCTAAGATGTACGCTTACCTCTACATCAAATTCCATCCGCGGTGATCCTTCATACCTATACGGGGTCAGCAAGATTGCTACCCTCGCTTCAGCTATTTTTTTTATCAGTAGTGAATATGAATGAATGTTTGGTGAGGTGCAGACACTTTGTGAGCAAAAGGGACTACGATCAGCCGCGTTCGTTACAAAGCTCTAGGCTATTGCCGCTCTCTTGTCGGGCTGCGAGAACAGCACTTTGCGACCTTTGTGGACTCACGCCTTACTGTCCACCGAAGCGACTCAGTCTCTTATTCGTCGTGGGGTGTGCCTTTAATCCACACATTTAGTCGTGACAACTAGACGCCTCCGTTCTTCTTACTTTGATGTATGTTGTGTGCTGGAGCTAAATTAACAAGTTAACACGCTGACGGCAGCGCGGGTTTTCACTTTTTGGTCGCATGGGATCAGACCAATTTTGGGAATGCGCCTACCTTGACTTACAACCATTTTTGTGTTTGAATGCACAAAAAGTTGATGTCAGAGAGTAACTTCAGCAATGACCAAAGCATGAACGTTACTGAGATATGAAAGTAGAATTTCATCTAAGAGACGTTTGATTACGAAAAATATTTCAACCCCCACTGCAAATGGCGTCGAAAGCATTTTCAGCTTTGCGTTAAAAACAAATATTCTGCCATCTGCAGAGTTTTGTGTCACTCCTACTATGTTCTTTATATGTGCGATCATGACACTAACATGGAGAAAAAGCGTAAGAGAACAGAAAACTTTGGGAGGCTCGGGAAACCGTTGCGCAATCGAAGCGTCTGGGGCCATTGTAGTTCATACCGTGTTAAAGAACTGTCTATTGAAAAACATTATAGAAAACTAAGAAAGTAGGAGCGCATGCGGGAGAAATAAACAGTAAATTTTTGACGTCGTCAGATGCCCCATGCGGCCTGTTTGATTTGACGCGTCAGCCTGTCGCCAATGTGTTCAAGATTGAAGATTGTTCTGGCCAATAATCCATTATAATTTACTCCCTGTTGATGTGTTTCGAAAATAATGTACCCAGATCGATCATGGGTACCGCGACTACGTTAGCGTTTAGGTTACCCATGCCTGTCACGAGCAGTGGGCAGAAATGATGACGTCACGACGACCGGTCGTTCAATGGCATACGCTGCAAGAGCGGATGGAAAAGGAAAAAGAGACTAGTAAGTCGAAAGATTAGCCGTGGAGCAGAGGGATTCGTGGTCACGTTATCTTCAGCGAGTCCAATGCTCGTCGACACATATCATCGGATACGGTCAGGAGATTTTAATCTTGTGAAAGGTGGTTGAACGCCCTAGTGGAACAAATTGGGCCTTTGGTGTGTGTGATGTGAGATGACCATCAGACTTCTCTGCTAAAATCGCAGCAGTGGCTCCAATGGGAATCATGTTGCAAAAAAACAGAATTGCTCTTATTCCTCTTGGCTTTTCCCTCACTTTCATCCCATTTCTTCTACTCTCAACTCATTCGTCTCTGGGATTTCTCTTAAGGAACTCTCTCCTCATCTTTACTCTTTACGTGAATTCCCTTCATTAGGGCTGAAAAGAAGCGCAAAGGCCATCATCCATAACTGAAGAAACTGGCCGTTTTGAAGTTATACGAGGCAGGAAGAATTGCGTGTTCTGATACATATTTAATCTCCGGGCATGAGGGAGAAGGCCTGATAAATAGATGGTTTCGGGGTTTATGCGGCACATTTGCTAAACATGAACAGGAAATAAGGCATTTTTCGAAATGAAAAGTTATACGAGTTTCCGTCATGATTGTTTCCCCAACCAAGTGGAAACCATGAGAATACAGGTACCCAATTAAGTCGCTCATACGGCAAATCTTGCTAGAGTGGAAATTCTATTGGATTATGGATCAATTGTTTTAATGCTCTTCCCAACGCGTAAAATTGCGATATCGAATCCGTTTTCTTCAAAGAATAAAAGAGACTGACGTGTCAGGACCTGAGCACAAACAACGGCAAATGCAAGCGTCACGAGCGTCAGTCCACATGTGTTTATTCCCGCGCAAAAAAAATGGCGGCATACTAGGTAAATCATATTACAGCGCACAGCCCTGGCCCACATTTGGCTCGAGACGGTCAATGGAGATTTGTACCTTGCCTCTCTCTCACCTCAGTGTTTTCTGGGTGGAAAGGCCGGAGAAAGATATCATGAGAATTTGGACCAATGAGGCCCTAGGCCCACGATTGAATTGGTTATGTCACAAGAATGAGGAGTCGATGGGCACATGGATGTACTGGTAAATCCAGAATTATACGCACTGTGGGTCATCAGTGCCTTGATGTGCTAAGGCAGATCACTGGAGCAAACAAGAGGCGACAGTTTTCTTCCACAGATGGTTGGGAAAGTTACCAAGATTCTCCGGTAAAACTTTCTTCGGACAGCACTGACCGGGTATGGTTTGGTGATCATTCAGTCGTGTACACTCCCAAAAAGGCCCAAGAAGTTCTAGCACATCAAGCAGGTAGAATAGTTGGCAAGGCTTTCAGTAGCAATTCCTACAACAAAAGAGTGACACCGAACAGAAATCCAAAAATATCATAACAAATTCTGCCAAAAACTATGTTTTGAAGGCACAATTCATGGTGGTGCTCTAGAAGGCTCATTACACTTTCTCATTGGTTCGGCTCCCCTCGTAGCTATCTAACAGGAAGGATGCTTCCATAATACGGGGACGCCCTGGGAGTACACTTTGCGAAAGAACATACCACGAAACGTGAACGTAGGAACTGCCGAGCATCCCGGAAAACTAGGAGCTTCCTCGAAGTTACAGACTGAATAATTAGTTATACAATGAGTGAACGCACGAAGACTGGCAGTTCAGTTTTTCGAATTTCTTCAAAAAAACTCACTTAAGCCGTTGTCAGTTGTCATCACATCTTCGGCCGCGTTTTTGACGCATGAGACTGTGCTTTTTAATTTTTCCTCCAAGATGGCAAAAAACACCTAAAATGTGCAAATGTCTTTGGTTTGCATTCGCTCCAAATACCATTTCTACATATTCGAAACATGTTCCCGCCTCCACTGACAAAATCTTGCAAAGGGCCAAAAGCCCTGTGATGAAAGTAACATGAGCAGAACTTTTGGAGTTCTTCGTTAATCGGAGTGCTAGAACCATTCTTGGCCCGTAATTGCACCACTTATTGTATCTTGACGGTGAAGTAATTTTGATCACATCCGTGTGGCCTATGAATTAAGCACTGCATCGATTCAATTCACAATATCTTATGCTCATTCGTACCATCATTCTCGCACGATCTGGGTCAATTTTGGCGTTGCACTATTGCAAAAGCGGAGTCTGAGATGAAAAGACAACCCATTAGAAATGTAATGATGAAAAAAAGCAACAAGAAAAACGGTTAAAATCTGAGAACTAGGACCCCTCTTTGATCGCTGATTAGGCGTATCTCATCGGTGCTGCTCTCTTAAACACAAACGCTACCTCTGCTAGAGCGAGTGGGGTCCAGAGAGCGAGGGAGGGTGGGCGGCGGCGCGAGTATAGGCCACTTGGGGCATGCCCTTCGCAGCCGCACCCGCATTCTCGTATCCTCAAGAGGGGGAGGGGGCTGACTGCATAAGGTGGATCTCCCTTTCTTCTGCCTTTGCTAGGAGGGAATCTTATTTCAAGTCACTAGAGCGACTAGAGTCACACGGCGAGGGAGTGGGCGGATAGCGGCACGAGCGGCGCAGGCAGCCCTTCTAGGCCAATCGGGAATGCCCTTCGCTGCAAATCCCGCATCGTTCGCATCCTTTGAGGGCCTCCTGCGCTAGGAATACCTCTCTTCTTTCAACTCCGCATTATCGAATATCCTAACACTGGCGTCAGGTCAATTTCAATTTTTTACCACTCTCCTCTCAGGTGTATTGTTACGATCCTTCATCACCAGAATAGTCAGGCGGGTCCTCCATATTACTCGCCCTCAACTACACAAGCTGTTGCTATCCGTAGTATTTGATTCAGGCCTCAGTCACAACCTCCAGATTCATCCCAAATTGTATTCCAAAATTTTCTTCCAAAACTGCCAGGGGAGCGGGTGGGGTACTCCACACTCCCTCCCTCAAATTTAACCAAGACCGTCGGAAAGCGACCCCTTCTCATTTTCCACAAACACAAATGCCTTTTGAGCTAACCTTCGTTCCCAGAATATGTATGTACAATGACCATTACCCTGCTTATGCCCTAACCAGGTCTCCATTGCTTTGGTTTCACTCAGGTACTCTGGTGCGAGGCTTGTCAAAGTCAAACCGCATTTAAATGCCACAGAAATTCTGGATATCATAGAGATTGATCAACGCCCACTTTCAATCCTCGTTCTTACAATTAGTCCAGCCCTAGCTTGCTCCTCTCCTCGCTCACCTTTTCAGCCCTTTCTAAGCATATAACCGAACTTACAAAACGGCTGAAAGAATCACGGTTACGAACTTCATCTAGTATTCATCTGTGACAACACGAGCGTAGTTATCGATGAGCTCGCGTGATCTCCTCACGCGGGGGTCATTTCGTTCGCTGTATCACTCCTTACATACGCTAACAACTGTGATAAATGTGCTTAAACGACAGCCTCATTCGAATTGTTGATTGCCATACGAGTTCTTCGCGGAATTATTAGGAAATCTACCGATCAGATTTCTATCACCTTTTTCAGCGCTGTTTTTATTGACGATAATTATTGAATCATATCCATAATTTCACTGTGCTGTACATTACTCCTCATTTTCTCTGTCAATACTTGGTTGCAACTGTTCTGTTGATACAATAAATAAGTTATTTATGTGAGCGTTCTGTACGGTTTCAATCAAAGTGAAGAGAGCTGTCGAGTAAGATCCCCCACTCACCCCTCCCCTTGATGACGTCTATCATCCCCCACCCTGCACAGATGGCACATGATGCAAAGCGATTGCGGTCGCTACGCCTAAGTTGATCTTCGGGCACGTTATGCGCTGGAGCTGGTGTTAAAACCGTTGCTATTCCTACGCAAACGCAAAACTTAAGCGGGGCGAAGTTACTGACAGGGTCAAGCGAGGCGTCGAGGAATTCGGAAGTACGACCTCCCCTATTC